TCATTGTTTTTCACATGGGCAGTTATACGTTGCCTATTCGCGAGTTGGAAAACCATCCGCTTTGTTTGTGTTAACGTCAGACCAAAAACAAAAAATGTGGTTTACCAGAGAGCACTTCAATGAAACGAATAATTTACGGATTCACTTTCATTTACTTAGAGAAGTTCAACTAAAAAACACTTCATTTTTGTAATCGAAATAAATTCATTACTGTTGTATAATAAAATCAATTTTTTCCTTTTCAAATATAAAACAAACAAAAAATTTCTTCATCTTTCTCACGAAACCTTCTGGTGGCGAAACGGAGTTTGTCGGGTTTGCTAGTGTTTTATAATTTCAGATGTCAATAAAGAAACATGTATATGATGAAAGGTTATGGGAATGTTTTGGCTGTATGGCCGTACAAGGTGATTTGGGTAACAGATTCTTAACGTAAGTACCTTTATGTTTTTCATATCAATCTGGAACACTACAATTAAACACTCACAATATCAACTAAAACAGTAACATTTTAGAAACTGATATGTATCATATATAAATTTTGCAACTAAATGAAGTTACAAATGTTCGTTCAATAACATTCCTAGCCTTTTTGTGCAATTCATTGTATTGCTCCTCAGTATACTCACACCTTATCGGTGCCCTGTGTGGGGTGTGTAGACAATGTTCTAATGGGTAATCTGAAACTCCTGTGAATGTACAACTAATACATTTTTTCTTTCTTGATTTGCTGTATTATATATATCTATGAATTACCCACCAAATAGGTAAATAATTCAGTATGGCTCTAATTACTAAGACCTGAAAACTGCCAACGTCATATGTGGCGGCAGGATATCTACTACTCACAAACGATATCCTTTCATCAGCATTACATATCTGATGATATTTATTATTAAGTCAACATTCAAAATACTTAAGTAATCAAATAAATAATACTTACTACTTCAACAAAAATGGAGTAACTCATATAAATTCTTCTGACTCATATAAATAACCGCGGTGCCACAGTGATCTTTTCTGGGAGCCTAACTATCTTCTGATTGTATCTTATTTCTTATTGCAGCTAAACTTCATCTTTCGGTCTTGATTATTAGTCCTTGGTAGTAATAATATTTTATTTTATATTGATAAACATTTGTATTAGTAGCATTTTGTTTATTGTTAAAAAGTTGTTTTAAATAGTACATGAAATAAAAGTATTTTATTAAAGGAATTAAGTTTTTTCAGAAGATTTCATCTTTGCATTTAGTAATTAAGCACCTACTGCTACCCTTTGGTGACCAAACATAAAAGTTACAGATATTTATATCAGACACATACATTAGCATTTGGCATGGAGCGTAATAAATATTGCTCTTTTTTAAACATGGTTTCCATTATCTATATTTGAGTAGCCAACATTAAAGTGTCCAATCTTCTCATCAAAGATATCATATTGAATGGCATTTAATTTGTACAATTTTTATTAGTTTGTTATTTTTAATAACTAAATAATCTATACTAGTGCATAACCAGGATTGTAATAGCTTCACTAACAATCCAACTGGGATCACATCAGCAGGATATTTGGCTATTGCTTTTTTTTCATTTTTCAAGCCATATTTTATTGTCTTAGTTGGATTGATTAGATCAAGGCCAAAGTTTTAAAATTGTTTTTGTGACGAGCTGAAAACCACTCTGAACTTTCACTTTGATCTATTTTTTTAAACACAACAATTTGGTTATTATATAGTTGACTTCATATTTTGATAGTAGTAATCATACAGTTTGAATCAGAAAATATATCACGTATAATACTGGCTATGTTTGGAAGTTTTAAGTAAAAGTTTCATTAGATTTTCGGTATTTTTTACAGCTATTATTTTAATGGCCGTATCACATAAAGCATTGACAAAAATTTTAGCAGCTGTTTGAATTGCGGTCTCAGACTCACATTTCAGAATAGTGCGAAAAGATCAGTTTATCACTGATACATTATTATCTTCTGTATAATAAACTAGTTCATATTTTCTTGTGTTTGGAAAATCATCAGCAATAGCGAGAGGCTTCGAATAGATTTCCTTTCCCAACTTCTCCAGCCTTGCTCTTCAGATGTTTTGGACTTACTCCTGTCGTTGTTTATATAATGAATAACAGCATAAATGTGGTTACAATTAGCAGTTCTGTTTTAATAAAGCGACTGACAGAAATTCTCGGGAAATTCATATAGCAATTGCCTACATCAGTTTGATATGAATCATTACCAAAAAAATGAATAGCTGCAAGCACCTATAATAAAAATTTAGTAGTTAGTTTAACAAAAAAAAAAATTTCAAATTCAAATACCTGATAATAAGTATACTATTACTCCATTAATTCATAGCAGTATGATTAATTTTTTAATGATTGCTAGAATTGTTAATTGATTATTATTTTGAATTGAAAGCAATATTCCTAAAAAAATGTTCACTTAATAAACTTGTAAAAATTTCAGTTAATTGTCAACAAATTTTTTCTTCTCTAAGAGGGCAAAGTTGGTCTGGTAGTTTTTAATACAGCTGATTTCTACATTGATTTTAATTTAATTCATCTAGAGTGCACAATTACAAAATTGTATATATATGTTGATTTTTCAAATATAAAAAATACATAAACTTACGCACTTTAAATGTATAATGAAGGAATGAACAATTATTTCGGAATGAATTTGTTATTTGACGAATTTTAAACTTCTCGTAAAGCATGTTTGTAGCAAATTATTATTTCATATCATAGACCAGTAATTCTAATATTCACTAAATATTCATTAAAAATTCGCGGACAACTGTTTTTTTTTTTAATTTTACACATTGACGTCACACCCATCTGCTGTTCAGAAACAATCTCTTAAAACATGATTGGTTTAAGTTATAAGTAAATCATTTAATGTATTTATAACTACCTTTTATTAAGTTTACGGTTAGTAAAGTTGAAAAGTTGATTAAGGTTTTACATCCTACCCTATTTTACTCTTTTGCTACCACATCCGTTTTCGGTTTTCTTTAATTGGCAATCAGAATATACAAATTCTACGAGCTAATGTGTGACGTCAATACAAAAAAAAAACAAAATCAAAATACAAACAATGATAAGCAAATACAAATAATAATTATATGCAAATAAAAAAATAAATATGTTGGGATGCCTCCATTGAGTAACTATTCGTGAAGAATGGCAGGCAGAGATTATTTGATCATGTTAGCTGATCTCGGATCGGAAGATATACTTGTATATAAGATCTAGATTTTTTTGTTTGACCTTGAGACATTTATCTTTATATTTATATCTTCATTTGTGTGCCCCAAATGCGTGGTGCCACATTAGAAAAATGTCCTGAACAATAAAGAATTGGATTTAAATTATTTACAAGGTCATTTTCTCTATTCTTGATTTTGTATGACTCCCCGTAAACAAGATCAACACCTCCTCCGCAGGTATATCATGTATTGAAGAGAACGTCCTCAACATTCTCGCAGCATCTTTAGTTGAGACTAGAGAAAATGGAATATCATCATTACTATCATCATGTAATATCATCAATATCGGATTTTCTCGCAAAGACAAAGTTTGTAAGTGAGAAACGAGGGAGTAATCATTTCAAACTCAATTATAAACGTTATAATTTAAAAAAAGCGTCTGTATGTGTGCGCAGATTTTTAGCAATTTTCTTGAATTTGTTTCCTTTTCTTAACAATGCGACGAATCCTTCTTTTCTGCCTCTCATAGAAGGTGCGCCATCAGTGCTGACACTAACTAAATTACTTACATTCAATTATAATTTATTACATACTTCTTTAAAGTTTTCGAAATTATCGGTCCCGCGAGTTCTTCCTGATAATGTACCCCCAAAGCTAGTAATTCTTCGTAACATTGAAAATCTTTAGTGACAGCACCAATAAAATATAAAATTTGTGCTGAATCTATTTTATCAGTGCTTATTTAAAGCAGTGATTTTCAACCTTTTTTGTGCTATGCCTCACCTGAACGTTTCTATAATAAAACCATTTAAAATTTTGTTTCTTAAAAATAATAAATAAGTTTTAGGAAACAATTACAATTTAATCGTTTTCAAAACATCACAAATGTTAAAATTTTGAAACATGTAATAAAAAACTGAAATTCAAATTTATTTTATTTGTGATTTTTTCTAAATAGTTAATGCGATAATTGAGCTTGATGTTTGCTACACCAAGATTTTATCTTGGGTTCTAATTTGCTAAGCTTCAATCTCAAATCTCTGCCTCGCCTCCTTCTGCTATAGCAAGTCTATTTTTTTGATATCAATAAATCATTCAAAACACTAAATCCACGTTCTACTAAATATGAAATTGGAAACGGCAGAAGAAGCTTTCTTTCGCACATTTGGGTATTTGACTTCAATTTCTCGACAAAGCCATTCCATTGCCCCTTTTATATTAAATAAAGTTTTTGCTGACTAATGATTTTGAAATTCAGCAAGTTTTTTTTTGATACTGCCCAGTAAACCACAAAACGTAATCAAAACGTTAATAGAACGTAACAGATTATACGTAAAACATAACGGTTACGTAACCTAAGAGGCACACAGACGTATCTATTTCCGCCTCAAAAACGTAACGGCCTGTTTAGTTACGCGAAAACATAACGGTTTCGTTTTTGTAACGTTTCCAAATTGCCCGAAAACGTAACGGTTTCGTTTTTGTTAGGTTTCTAAATTACTAAATTAACGTGTAGGTGTCTTTGATGTAACTTAAAAATTTAATAAAATTTCCTGTAAATATAGAAACCATTTTTTATATTAATTTTATTTCATATTATAATTAAGAATTTACAAAATTTACATAACATATACTTAAAATTACAAAACTACAGAATATAAATTTGGATTTTAAAAATTTGATTAATCTAAAACAAAAAATAACAATTCTAACAAATTTCTATTTAACAGGATGGAATTAAATGTTTTATTTTGATTATAAAATTTTAACCATTGAAAATAAGTCTTGTGTAAAATTCTTGGCAACCTTTGTTTATCAAATTGAAACCATTTCACTGCTTTCTGTTTGTAAATGTATCTAAAACAGAACCCAACAGGTTAGAAACAATTTCTACAAATTGTTTATTGATAATATTGATTTAAATTTTTTGTAACATTACCTCTAAAAATATTCATTATTTTCAAGTTATTGACAGCTAGGCAGTCCTTTCAACAATACCAAAAACATATTAATTCTTCATCGAATTACACTTTAGACAATAAAGAAGATTTTAGTCTCTGAATTTTTAAATATATTTTTGCTGAAGTAAAAACAATAGAAGGTTATGATTTGGAAATATTGTGACTATTATTATAAATTGTAACAATACTTCTAATTACCTCTATTTACTTTCATTATTTATTAAGAACAAAGTGCAGCTAATTCCTTTATGAACGTATTGCTCAAATATTGTCTTAATTGTTTCTTATCAGTTCAGCCAAATTTCATCCACCGACTTTTAAATCATATTTTTGCTAAAACTAAATCATAAAAATTAATACTAAATCATCTTATCATCTCTAACTATCATAATGGGGTATACCAATTCCATGACACATGATACGAGTGTCATCATTTAATGCTGTAAAAAATTTTATTCTTCTTCAAATCATTTTTTCGTGATGATGGTGAATTATTATTTTATATTCTAACTTTGCATTCATATTCTTTATTTGAGCAAATATCTTTATTATGTTCTGAGTCATTATATTTCTTCAATTGAAAACCATTGTATTAGTTTTTATTCCTGTTTAGCCGAACTATATTATTGTTACTGAAGGGGCTACAAATATTAAATTTGTATTTGTATATCTCATTTTTACTAACTTTTTGACTCAACATTGCAATAATCATTGAGGTTATGATTTTTTTGTAGAATTTAATTATTATTTGATAAACATACATTTGATGAAAACATCTACAAATAACAAAATACGCGAATAGAATTTCCATTAAGGTCCAACTATATACTGAAAAAAAAATCATTATTATAATAATATATAAATTAAAATAATTTACACATGTTTTATATTTATACTTACCTTGATCGATTCCATTTTAAACATTTTAACTGCACACTGCATAACTAATACGTTCTACATTAATCATATAAAATATTAATCATATAAATAATGATTAAATAAATGCTTCAAAAGAATGAAATAATTTGCTTGTCAAAAGATCTTCAATATGAAGCGTCCATTAGAGTCATTAGTCATACACAGAAAAGTAAAATATATAGAGTCACGAATAACTTTCAATTGTATTTTCGTGCATAGAGTCTCGCATACATAAAAGAGTTTTGTGAAACAGCTGTACCACACCGTCCATTTTGTATGTTAAACTTACAAAACACTGTAACTGAACGGTTACGTTATGAAGAAAACCATGCATTAACGTTTAAAGGTTACAATTAAACGTAACATTTACGTTTTATTAACGTAACCATAAAATACATAACAACGTTTCTTCTGTGCTACGTTACTTTAACTTTATGTGACGTTTGTGGTTTACTGGGTGCATATTCGAAATATCAGTCAAATCTACTAATACTGGATTCAGCAGCATCCATGCTGGGAAATCAATTTGTTTCAAATCTCTCCCTCAAATCGACAGATAAGATATCCAGATGATTTTTAATTACAAGCAAAGCATCACGAGTTACTTTACATTTTTGTTTTATATACAATTCAATATTTGTAATGAAACAAAATATCTTCGCTTTCGCATCGACAAGTGTTTTATTTGGTCCTTGGAGTTGTTTATTTAACACATTCAATTTTTCAAAAATATCTGTTAAATAACTTTTTCATCGAAAATTAATGAAATCTTCATTTCAGGTTTGTCATTGAAAAATTCACTTAGAACATCGAACAGTTACATATATTTGTTTAAGCATTTTCCTCTAGAAAACCATCTTACTCCCGTATTAAGCAAAAGTCTCACATCGCTTCCATTGCTCTTCACAAAACAGCCTGAAATGACGTTCAGATTTGGCACTGGCTTTATATTAATAGTATTAATGCATTTTAAAACTGCATGTAATACCTCATTTAGAACAGGCGAGATATTTTTAGCAACTAAGTGTCCTTATGAATTACACAATGCACAATAACCATTTCAGGATTTATCTTCTATCAATTTTAAGCAGCCATTTTTCTTGTCCATCATTTTAGGAGCACCATATGCAGCATAAGATGTTATATTTTTCATTGATATGTTCTTCAATTCTAAATAGTTTTTTAACTTATTATATATGTCTTGGGATTTAGTGGTGCTATAACATTTCTTCAGAAAATTGTCCTGCATCAATAAATCGTACATGTGCCAGCAATACAGCCTCACTGTCTTTTGATGTCGATTCATCCATTTGTATTGAGAAATGTCTAGTTTTTAACTTATCGATTAATTGGTTTTCAATATCGTTACTCATTTCGTCTATCCTTCTGCGAACAGTATTATTACTGAGTGGCATGGCTTTCACTTCTATGTCAGCTTTTTCACTTCTATGTTGGCACGTGCCAACTGTTTTAAGAAATGCTGAAATTGATGGTTTCATCAAATTTTCTCAAATAGTGCAGTTTTTTCCACTTTTACAAATTAATAATGACATTTGATAATTCGCCTTAAGATGACGATTATTTGTTAAAGAAGTGCAGTAAATAGAGACGGCAATGTTGTTCTTTTTTCAAACTTTTCCTTTAAAGTTTTAAAATAACTCAAATCTGAATTTACATGATTACGATGTTTTGCCTTCAAACGGGCCTCAAGACGACCTGGTTTCATTGATTCGTTCTACAAGCACTGCTGACAACAGACAAAAGGGATATCCGCTCATCGTGAACAGCGGCCAAATTTTAAATATTATTCATCCTAATATTGACGAGTTTTTCTCTTACTTGCTACACTCATTTTATTGTGGGCTAAAAATATTATAAAACAGTATGGAAATATGTGTTGAAATTATTTAAATGTGGCAGAAATAAACAGTAAACGTATGCATGCACAGAGAAAAAATATTAATGTAGGGTAGAGCGGGGCTAAAAGGTCCGTGGGTGAAAAGTATACGATCGATATCTCCAAAACTAGTAAAGTTAAGATTTTTTCGACAATTTTTGAAACTAGAGGGGAAAAGGTAAAACCAGCTATTATCTTGATTTTTACGACTTTGCTATCTTTTCTTCCTGGCAGTCTTCTTCTACAATCTACATCATACATAATTATTTGTGGTTGTAGCTTCTTGGACTCTTCCACAACTAATTTTTGCGCACTCAGATTTGCTATCTTCATTATTTCTATATCTCTATTTGTTTGAACTTCTAAGACAACTCCTTTATTTTGGAGTTGCCGTTTACCTCTAATTTTTATCTGCTTACTAATATCTTGTAGACCAGTTTTTACGTGATCCTTTATTTCATCATTTGATCTACTGTCTGTTCGATCACATTCAGGTTTAATGTATATGTACTGGCTTTTTGGTTTTTGTTGCACTATTTGCGTTGGGAGTTTATTAGGTGCTCTAGATGCCACATTTGCATATGACATGTTGGTAGTTTTCTCGTTATATTCGGCCTCTGTTTTTTCGTGCTCTAAAATTTCTTTTTGAAGCATTAGCTCCAAATTTGACCATTTTTCGAGAATGAACTTTATTACGCATTTGGACACTTTGTTCGACTCATTAAAAAGGAAACTTTCAAGTTTCTCTCTTTCAATTTTAACTTTATTCAAACTATCCGCGGATAGATTGCTTATGCTTTCTTTAGGGGTTGTGTCCCCCTTCTCTGCCACTTTCTCTTTAGGGGTTGTATCCCCCTTCTCCAGCACTTTCTCTTGGTTTTTGGCTTTTTTTTAGTTTTCGAGCAAGCATTTTAGTCAGGCTGGTTTTTTGGTATGTGGTCCTTGGTGCTCTCTCGGTTAGGATACGTGCCGTCTGGCAGCTGGAAGTGGTTGCGTTAATTAGTGCGCAGCCAATTTGTACAGCGCGATTTCAAAATTTTGAAAGCATTTTAGTCAGTCCAATTTTCGTTTTTTTGACTTCGAATAGGTTCACCAGACTCAAATTTTTTGTTGCCAGACATTTTGGGCGCTGCTAAATATGTGCCAGACGCCAATTTATTTACGAATTTTTTTAAAAATTCAAATCATTTTAGTCCGTCTGAAATTTTAGTATTATGTTCGTTAATGGTAAAAACACGTAAAATTAATTTGCCAGACGTTTCTGCCTTTTTTAATTCTTAATAGTTTTTTGTTTCATTCGCGCCAATGTATTTGGCGATTGTCTCACTCTGTCTACTAGTATCATATTGGCAAACTTTTTCGTTGCCAGGCATGCTTAACAACCACAGAAACGTCTGGCAAATTAATTTTATGTTTCTTGACCCTTAATGAACATAATATTAAAATTACAGACGGACTAAAATGATTTGAAATTTAAAAAAAATTAATGAATAAATTGGCGTCTGGCACATATTTGGCAGCGCCCAAAATATCTGGCAACAAAAATGTGAATCTGGATAACTTATTCAAGTTATCATATCAAATATCAAGTCAAAAAATGGAAATTGGACTGACTAAAATGCTATAAACTAGTATCATATTGCCAGACATTTTTGCTTGCCAGACATGGTTAACAACCGCAGAAACGTCTGGCAAATTAATTTTACGTGTTTTTACCATTAACGAACATAATACTAAAATTTCAGACGGACTAAAATGATTTGAATTTTTAAAAAAATTAATAAATAAATTGGCGTCTGGCACATATTTAGCAGCGCCCAAAATGTCTGTCAACAAAAAATTTGAGTCTGCTGAACCTATTCGAAGTCAAAAAAACGAAAATTGGGCTGACTAAAATGCTTTCAAAATTTTGAAATCGAGCTGTACAAATTGGCTGCGCACTAATTAACGCAACCACTTCCAGCTGCCAGACGGCCCTTACCCTAACCGAGAGAGCACCAAGGACCACATACCAAAAAACCAGCCTGACTAAAATGCTTGTTTTGAAAACGTTGCTGGCTCCTATACTATAATAAAAATCCAAATTGTGTTCTGGAATTTTTTCATACATTTCTCTATGTATGTTGTTAAACCCTGTATATATATATATATATATATATATATATATATATATATATATATATATATATAAATTATATAAATATAAATTATTATAAATAATAATTTAAATTATTTATATATAAAAAAAACTGCAGCCTAGTACAGTCATAGCCTCAGAATATTCTAAGGGACATGAACATTCATAATATTTTTAGCCCTTTTCAATAAATGTAATTAAAATAGCAAATTGTGACAGTTTGATTCGTATGACGACTATACTCGCCAATACGAAAAATTCTGCCACATTTTCGTGACGAGTATATCCGTCAATTGCAGTTATCTGTTTAAATTGCATAAGTT